ACTTACTCCTAGTTTTCACCTAAACCACACTATACTTATCACTAGTCCTCTTTTATTGTTGTTTTATTATGTTATCATATCTCACCTTTTTTCAGCGGCAACGCGATAGTTTAAGTTCCTACACTGTATATGCAAGATATACAAAGATTTCATTATTCTTCGAGATAACGCATTCAGAACAAACTCCATAATGAAATGAGATTTCTCAATTCTTCATAAGTAAAATAACCGTCTTACCCGGTGACTCCGTGTTCGCTTGTCTCCAAGACTGTTCTCAACATTATGTTCACCTGAATTGATATTAATAGTTTTGTTAACCTGATATTTGACTGTTTGACAATGTGATTAACAAGATTGATTTGCATCAACACATCCGCTAAGTGCAGATGGGTTTTGTCCACATAGTACTGAGTGAATTGAATATGTTGACATAAGAGTGATATCTATTTTAAAAGGTTTTGGTATTCTAGTAGAAATAATCTTTATCTATGTTAGCAGGATTATCCTTCCAGTTTCAGATAACGATTCAGTGGTAGCCCATTTATTTGAAAAAAGATACCTTTTAAAGTTGTGTGGGTATTCGTTTTTCTGGAGGACCATCACGATAGTATTATGTTTTGCTTGTTTTGCGGAATATTTAAATGCAATCTCCTTTGTGCGTTGTTGGATTGTTGCTGCTGAAACTGAGTATTTGGTTTGTGTGTGTTGACTTTCTCTATAATATTGTTTCTTTCCAAACCGATATCTAAGAATCGAGTTTTGTTGCCTGCTTTCGCTTCACTTATCATCAAAAATGCTGTGGAGCACTTTCTGAATGACTTCTTCCCGCCGTGACAAATGTGTCATCTATGTAAGGTAACCGAACTTTGGTTCGATTATGAGTGGAAGCACGGTTGATAGTCGTTTCCTAATAGCTCCAGCAAATAGTTTTGATATGGCTGGTCCTATAGCTCCCTTTTATCTGTTTATATCTTGGATCTCTGAGGCAAAAATATGTTACGAGACACAAATCTATGAGCTTTATATAATTTGAACAATGTATTTTTACGTATTCATCATTTGCCAATATTTTGGGAGTGAAACGACTGGTCGTTAAAATAAAAGTAATTACTGATACCTGTGTCCTCAAAGAAACAAACCAGAAATAATCATTCACTTTTAAAAATGGTCAGAAGACAGAACCCGACCGAAAGCTGCTACCTTGACGTGGTGGTCGCGCTTGAACACCGCAATGACCCAACGAGGTATGCTGGTTGAGACTTATGTCGCCTGAGGTTCTACCATGCCAGAAAAATTGTTTGGATAGCGGTTAGACAAAAAGCAGCTACCCAATCCAATATTATGATACAAACAAACTCACAAAATATCATGCCGGATCGGTTGGAGCCCGGATTAACAACGACCGCGCTTTCTGCTGCCCTGTCACAGGGCAGAAGTGATAAATATGCTACTGAGACACACCGAACAAAAAAGAACGAACAAAAACAGGCCGTGTGTGACCGGCCTCAAGCAGTTGTCCCCTGGGCTCTGCGGTCACGCAACCAACTTCCACGGTGTGGGCAGCCGGGAAGTAACAATCGCCCTCACAATCCGAAATGCACACAAAACCTCTCTAATACTCACTCATCTTTGTCTTCATCTCTATTATCTTACCTTCCTCCTCTACTTGATAACTCTTCACTTCCTCCTCACTCTGTGTCCACTAAATACAACGGAAGCCAAACAACCACCACCGATAGTCTCTTAAAGCCACGCCACCAATTTCATATAGGAGCATTTAATGTTAGGACACTTTGCCAAATAGGACAACAAGCATCACTAGCTAAGACCCTGGCATCACGAGCCATTGATGTATGTTGTGTTTCAGAAACACGCATACAAGACCCAAGTGTGGTTATTCACCTAACCCCACCTGGCCAACAGGATGAATCTTCAAAATTCACCTTGAGGGTGTCAGGAGATGCCACAGCTAGTTCACGAGGATTAGCTGGCGTAGGGATAGCTTTGAGTACTAGGGCAGAAAAGACATTACTTGACTGGATCCCGGTAGATAGCCGAATGTGTGCTGTCCGTCTGAACGGATCAGTAAGAAGGAGAAAGGACTGCACTACTCGCCGATGCCTTTTCGTAATCTCCGCCTACGCCCCCACTGACTGCAGTTCGGATGAAACGAAGGATGAGTTCTACCAAAAGCTGTCTAGTTTGGTGCGAAAGGCTAAACGCTCAGATATAGTCGTTCTAGCTGGTGACTTTAATGCTCAAGTAGGGAAATTGTGTCAATCTGAGAAGGATGTCGGTGGCACCTATGGAGTTCCGTGCCAGCGAACCGACAACGGTGACCGTCTCCTACAGTTCTGTTCAGATAATCATTTGTTTCTTGTAAGCACTAACTTTAAACACAAGGAGAGACACTGTTTAACCTGGCGACCCCCATCATCAAACCAACGCTGGACACAAATAGACCACATAGCAATAAGCTATCGTTGGCGTGGGTCGGTAGGAGATTGTCGCTCCTTCTGGAACACGTGTGTAGATACCGATCACGCACTGGTCCGGGCTCGTGTGTGCTTACGACTGAACGGACGTAGGAAACAGCTGGCGGTAAAACCATCACGTCCCCAGCTCGATCAGGAAACTAAATCCCTATTTGAGGAAGAACTAGCTAAACGCATATCTGAGTTCGACAGCTGTGCTCACCCTGGAGAAGCCTGGAAGAATATTCAGTCAGCTATAGATACAGCTGTAAAAGCTGTGAATAAGGCAAATCCAAAGGTGAGTAAAAACCACTGGATTTCGACTGCCTCATCCGAACTGATAGATGCTAGAAGACTTATTCCGGCGAGCTCCGAATTCAATGAGGAGCGAAAGCTGCACAAAAGGAAACTTACTAAAAGTCTCCGCAAGGACCGTGAACAGTGGTGGGTGACAAAGGCGAAAGAGATGGAAAAAGCATCGCGATAGGCAACACTAGGCAACTCTTTAGACTCATCAGGGAAACGGGTGGGAGAAGGCAATTCATAAGTGAGACTATTTCTGAGAAAAATGGCTCCTTAATTAGCTCTCAGGATAGACGCCTTGAACGCTGGAAAGAACACTTTGAGGAACAATTTAACTTGCCTACAGCCACACTGAACCTCCCCGACATCCAGCACACACCGAATGGGATATAGACACTGGTCCGCCGTCTGTAAGTGAGGTCACAAAAGCTATCAGTAATTTGAAACGAGGCAAAGCGGCAGGACCCGACGGAATTATTCCGGAGGTGTTTAAATATGGGGGTGACATACTAGTTTGTAGATTAACTGAGGTACTAGGCAAAGTCTGGGAATCAGAGACAGTCCATCAGACTGGGGTAAGTCACTTATTATACCGATATTCAAGAAGGGAAACAAGTCCTCGTGTGATAATCATAGGGGGATCAGCCTAACGAACATAGTCTCTAAAATCCTAGGCTCAGTAATCATGCATAGACTAAGCAGAACTCGGGAGGAACAGACAAGGGAAAATCAAGCAGGCTTTAGACCAGGTAGAGGGTGCATAGATCATATCTTCACTCTTCGACAGATTCTAGAACATAGACACACTTTTCGGCGTCCAACAATTGTCATATTTCTTGACTTGAAGGCGGCCTTCGACTCCGTGGATCGAAAGGTACTATGGCAATGTCTGACTGTGAAGGGAGTGCCAAGAAAGTACATTGCACTAATCAAGGCACTCTATTCAAACTCACGTAGTCGTGTAAGGGCTTATGGGGAATTGTCATCTGAATTGGTAACAACCAGTGGTGTCCGACAGGGATGTCCACTTTCCCCATTTCTGTTTAACTTCATCATAGATATGCTAATGGAAGTATCCTTAACTGAACGTAATGACTTAGGAATCGACTTGTTACCAGGGAATAGTCTTATGGACTTAGAATATGCAGATGACATAGTCCTGTTAGGGGAGGATGCTGACAAAATGCAGAGTCTTCTGAACACCTTGAGCAGCAATCTTCGTATGTTTGGCATGCGATTCGCCCCTACAAAATGTAAGATGCTGCTACAGGACTGGACACGTCAACTCCTAACTTAGTGATAGGGAGTGAAGTGATAGAACATGTTGACCACTTCACCTATTTGGGAAGTTGTATTAGCACCAACGGACTGATTGGCGATGAAATCTCAGCACGGATCCGAAAAGCTCGAGCTGCTTTCGCTGACTTACACCATCTCTGGCGTAGGCGTGACATCCGGTTATCAACCAAGGGACGTGTGTACTGCTCATCAGTTCGCTCCGTCCTTCTCTATGGCTCTGAAACATGGCCAATACGCGTTGAAGACATGAAAAGGTTGACTGCTTTCGATCATAGATGTCTGCGATCTCTGTCTCACGTTAGGTGGTTTCACAAGGTAAGTAATGTTGACGTTAGGCGTAGAGTGTTGGGCAAAGAGGGAAAATCAATCGACGAGGCTATAAAGTTACATAGACTAAGATGGCTAGGTCACGTGCTGCGCATGCCTAACCACCGCCTCCCCCGACGGGCATTACAGCTGATATAGGTTCAGGTTGGAAAAGAGCCAGTGGTGGCCAAACAAAAACATGGCCTCATCAATCCATGAAATCCTTGACAGTTAAACTGAGTCAGGTAGGGAGATGCAGACTCCCGGGTTGGGGCCCTCGGGACTCTAGGAATCAATGGCTGGAGACAATAGGTGACATGGCTCAAAATCGTTGTCAATGGCCAGCCAGATGTATTCAGTCTCTGTAATCTTTCATATTCCTTTCTACCATTACCCATTCTGTTTCACTCTTATACTTGTCAAACTCTATTAATTCTCTTCACTCATCTTCTTGTCTACCTCTGTGTGCTATTTGGAACGTGGCAACTCGAACTGGTGCACTTCGGTGCCAAGTTCTATATTGAATCCAGACAGACAGAAAACGGAATATTTGTGTAGATAAAAGTGTTTACATCCACAAAAATTTATCAGGATTTTTGCAAAACGAAAATACATTACCTTGGCCAACCAAATAGCACGATCCCACTGATCAAATGATTCCAAGTAGCGACATGCATCGATCTGTAGACCAATAAGGCATAACAAACCAATTCCTTCATTAATTCTTCCATTGGATAATAAGTTAGTCGCGACCAATTTTACTGTACTTAAATAGGTATCCTCTACTGACTGATCAATACTAGGTCCTGATAAACAAGACTTTCTGGTGGCATTCGCAGCAAGTAAGCAAGCACGGTGCATATTCAAAGAATACAGATTCGAATCAACTGGAGTTTCAAGCAACAGATTAACTGCTCGATCTGGCTGACCTAAAACATGAAAAGTGAAATATTGGTGAGTGACTGACAGAGTGAGTGGAAACCGGTTTTCTGAGGTCCCGGAAACAAGGTTTTACGAATATCGTATGAGTATCAACACAAACCAATAAAGAGGATAGCAAAGTGATTCGTGTGTCAGTAAGGCGTGGCCAATAAACATTTGTATTGAAATGTGTAGCCCGTATTCTGAAATGCAAACAAAGATTTCGAATTGTTCATCATGATTATAAGATGACAACAGAGAAGAATACAGCTACATTTATGATGGACAAACAGAATGAGTTCCATGTGGAATAAACGTTAAGTGTTAACACAACTACTGATTCGCACATGGAAACACAGAAAAATGTTTTCTTCTAGTGAAATATCGTCTTTCTTGCGCAAAATATTTACATAGCAACATGCGATCTATAAAGAAAATGCATAATATATTCATAACTAATCATCTAACGATATACGAGATATACAAGAAAGAAAATCTAGGTCTTCAAAGGAAACACAAAAACCTGTGATGGCGTTTAACCAGCATAATGCCTTTTAACAAACAGATTGAACAGTGATGATTACCTTCCTGTCTATCCCTACGTGTTTATTTGTCCTTTCAAAATTCGACAGGAAAACAACATGGAACGGCCAATTCATGAACTTCCATAGCTCAATTTCTTTGGGAAGAAACAGAAACCGGGTCCACTCCCTATCTTCAAGAATAAGGATATGTACCAGTGGTACAATCGATGATGAACTGGACAGACTGAGACAGGTCTTTAATCAAAATTGATACCATAAAAGATTCATCTCCAAAAAAAATAAAAGTAAAGTACCAAGTGGAAGGAATCTACACAGAGCCGCATGCCTACCCATCACCTTCCTCGACGAGCAAACGACATAGGATCAGGTTGGAAAAGAGCCAGCGGCGGTCAAACCAAAACATGGCTTCACCCGTCAATGAAATTCATAACAGTTAGTTTAAGCCAGTCACGTAGGAAGGTGTAGACCGGCTTCCTGGTTGGGGTCCTCGGGACGGTGAAAACCAATGGCTGGAGACAATTGGTGATATGGCTCAAAATCGTTGTCCATGGCGCAGATGCATTCACACTTCATGATTTGTAGTATCCAATAAAATTATATTGTTCTTAGATATTAGTATTCTTTTTGCCTCACATCTCCATTTATTATCCCTCTTTTGAACCACTCCTTACTCTCTTCTCTTGCTTTGTGTGCTACATGGAATGTGGCCACTCGAACAGATGCACATCTGTACAGAGTTCTACATTGAAACCAGTTAGTCGTTGTCTTTGGATTTTTAATTTAAAGGTGATATCACGACCGAGGTTTTGAAGAACCACCCATTCAGATAGTTGAGAAAACCATTATTCAATTGAGCTACTTGTCAATTTGCGCAGCAGGAGAATGATCAGATGTTTGAAGGGCCTATGCCACTTTGGGTCACTTCAATGTGTTGGCAAATTCGCTTGCTCCTGTAAAGCAAGTTATATATCGGTTGATTCCAACACTCGTGTATGGTGAAGGTGACAGAAATTCGTCAACACAACCCCGAACTGTGTACAGAAAAGGTTTGTTCAGTCTTATAATTCACCATGGTTTTAAACTGTTCTCTACTTGTTTGCTTTTATTTGTAGTAACTTTTATCACTTTTAAATGTCTGTTTTGTACACTTTACTAGCTTTTTTCCCAGTGTCTCCTCGATTACCAATGAACGCTCAACCATCTTGCTTCTCACTTAATACTATTTACTGTTAGATTTCAAATCCTTACTCGCGAATTCTCTTGACTTAATCGTCTTTTATTTTCATATGCTACCTCTGGTCCAAGTAAAATAGGAAGGACCTATCATAGATTTTCTGAAAATGTGAAAGGAGTCTATGATGAAGGCGAAGCACAACTCCGAACAGCACAGTCCGCCATCGGAATGACACATGGCATCAAGATGATCAAACGTCTAATTGCTATAAAATTAGATGAGATTACAACAAGTTTTAAAAACAAAGCCATAGTAGACATTTCAGTAAGATTCTCAATTTAGTTTATCATTAATTAAATGTAAATTTTAAAAGACTGATTAGAGAACAAAGAATGTTCTTTTCGATAACCTCTTTATCAAGTTTTATAGTTTTACATCCATAATAATTAAATAATGATTACCACTCACACGTTTTAAGTTACAGTTCAAAAGCATTATTAAGTGATAGTGTGCATAAATATAAAACTAAATTCAATGTCAGAGGAAATTAAGAAAAATATTACAGAATTTACACATTTTAGGTTTCACAGCAAGCCAGGATAACACTAGTAGCTAGATCTACTTTTTTGTACAAGAATGAAAGTTATGGAATGAAATACATAAAATTAAGATAAACTCATGTTTCAACCAAAGTACTTACCAATCATAAGAAGTGTGTCAACACAGACCATAGTTTCTATTGATGAATAGTGTGACTTTTCCATAAGTGATGTATAATTTTCCACATTCTGACGATACAGTCTACAATCAGCTAGAAAATCCCACGATAAATCCAAAAAGTAACGAGACCATAACTCTTTATCACTTGGTGAATTAGTAAAACTATTGACCGACTTTTTGTACAGTAAACGATTTGCAACTAATCGCCAAAACTTCACTTCATATACATCACTGAATAGTTGAGCAGTCCATAAACAACGTTCAATAATCGTGGTGCTTGATGGATTCATGAAACTGGTAACTAATTTACGCCTAAAATGTATGAGACGACAATATGTGGAGTGAATGCTAAAACGCAACATATGAGAAAACTTAAAATTTTTCCCCAGTGTTTACAGGAACGCAGCAACGAAGAATTAAAGCTAGTACAAACATACAAAATGTGGATCATGAGCTGGGTTTATCTATTTTCACCAGATTTTATTTGTAGGTTGTTAATTTCCAAAAAAATAACTACGCAGCGAGCTGATAATGAGTTAGGTTAGCATATATTGTTTAAATCAGAAGCAAGTTGGTCAGTAGAAACCGCTGGTGGGCATATAGCTCGTCAGATTGAAAGTCTGACTTTCAACTAATGGGTCCGAATATCATCCCACCCATTCCTTGAGTTTCGACAGATAAAACTAACCATAAAACTCAGACACTAAGTTTGGCTCATAGACAAATACGTGAACTTCTATCCCGCTGGTGAATTGCACAATTTACTCTGAGTTGAAGATCTTGATGAAGCTTAGAAGCTAGAATTCTAACTCACAAACAGGTATTAACTAAGTTAATATATTCGAACCAGTAACAGACGAAATTTCTGTTGGCTTACTCGAGTAACAACAAACTCTTTCAATGACCTAATAATTGTCCAATATCATAATTTAAAATAACTCCACACAAGTTATGGGACAAGTACATCACAGTCTGTTCAAAGAAATTATACATTAGGAAATATGGATAGCATGTCAAAATAAGACTCAGCAGGTACCTTACAAAGATTTTCAGTGACCATGTTTCACAACCGTAGCCGGACATCAGGTCTGTGCCACAGATGTGTGTTGGCAAACGCGCTTAGCATCCACACTTAATACGATAATCCACCATAAGGTTTTTCAAAAGAGGCATAAATTCAAGCAGAGTTCCTTAATTAGCTTTCTACACTTTCACAGTATCTCTATCACATCCAAAAATTGCTATACCTCCCACCTCTTGATCAATCAGGTAAAATGCCACCTGATAACACGGTAAGTATCAAACATGGGTAAACACGGCCAGGACCTGTCGAAGGGTAAGTACCCCACAAATGTAGCCTAATCCAGGAGTCAAGTCAAACGGCTTTATTTGTGTCAAGAGTCAATTAGTTTTCGTCGTGAAATGCATCCCACGAATTTGAATACCATATCAGTCAAACTGATATTCCTGTGTTTACCATGACTTATTCTCTTTCATTTAAGCTAGGATGATCTGTCGAAACTAATTCAGATTCCCATAAGCTAACTGATAATTTAGTTCATCTAGTGAAGAATTCATCACTAAAATCCATAAAATTCATAAGCTTTCATTACTCTTAAGTCTGTGTAGAAGTCAACAGCAATCAGCATCAAAAATAAGATCCAGATTTTCAACTCCAATGTAAAGTCAGTGCTACTATACGGATCAGAGACTTGGCCAGCGTGTCATTAAGAGCATCTCAAACAAACTTCAGACCTTCATTAACAGTTGACTTCGCTCAATACTCAAGATCAGATGGCCGGCCAGAAAAGATCAGCAACAGGGATCTCTGGCAATGAGCGAACCAACCAGGAACCGATTGTGAAACAAATAGGCAGGAAGAAATGGAGTTGGGTTGGCCATACGCTGAGGAAACCATCAAGTGACATCACTAGACAACCCATTGCTCGAGTGGAACCCGAAAGGGAAGCGGCGTGTTGGTCGTCAGTGCAAGGGTGACTTCGGGGAGATGAAAGCATGTGGGCAGACTTGTAGCGGGGTGAAAAAGTTGGCAGAAAACAGAAGGCAATGGAAACGCGTGGCTGAAGCCCTATGTTCCTCTAGGAATTAAAGGATACAATAATGTATATATATATATATATATATATATATATATATATATATATATATATATATAAGACACTAATCTGAACAATTAACGTATAAATTGAAATATATAAAAATAAACTATGCAGAGTTAATATACCTTGTTGAAATACAAAAAATGCTGTTATTACTATTATTAGCAGAAAAACTGTCATATGGGATGCTGAGCTCAGCAGGAAAGCAAGTATTTATAGAGCAAAACAATCAGCCACTTTATCACCATAAAACAGTTCACCAATATTTTATGCGACACTGTATATTAAGTATACAGGCATGTTACAAAGTATCCAATGCTGAGAGAATATACTGAAGGAAAACCAGCATTCGAAAATCGAAAAAAATCAAATAGTAACTTACTGAAGGTGTAGAAAAAGGTATAACAACTAATGAGTACATCATATTATACTTTGTCATTGAGACGGTGAGGAAATCTGCATAAAAGTGAGGAAAGATAGGTTTCTCCGGATTTCATCAGTCTATGTTGACAATTGCCTCCTGTAGTAAGCTTTCTTTAGCGAAAGTAAACGCATAGCATTGACTGTTTTTACTCAATAGTATCATAATGCGAAAGCGACATACTTATTACAGGCGCATCAAACAAAACATTTAGTTTACATTACAGACCAATATATATGTGATTCACATCTAAACTTCGTCTATCACCAGTTTAAAAGAGACTAGGAAAATGAATAACTAATTCAACTGATACACTTGTAGAACATATACCTAATATACATGCACGAGGTACCTGAATATCAATGTACGTTTACCGAAAGTAGAAACTAATCACTTCAGTAATTAGAAAAATTCACTCGAACAAATACACTGGGAATAAATTCAACCAAGATTAGACTCACCATTAAGATCATAAAAATTAGGATCGAAATTCGGAAAAACGTTTATTTACATACCTTGTCTTCATTCCATACAAAAAAATATTTACAGCATTCTGAATTTTAGCAAAGCCTGGAGCAAGTACAGAACACCTAGGAGCATGTAAGTTGATGGCTGGAACATCAGTAATTTCAGAGGAATGATAACTCGCTTGTTTCTGGTTTAATAAATCAAAATTCGGAGACTCTGCATTTGAAGACTTCGGTTCACAATCAGAAGTTATATCGATTAGAGGATCAGAATCCATGACTGTGGGAACTGTTCGGACCTTATCACACCATGGCTGATTTTGTAATAGGTGTCGGATATTTAAAGCAGTGATGGGTGGAAGTAGAGATGGAATTAGAACTGGATCTAAAAGAACCCAATGAAATATGCAAAGTTAACTTTTGGAGAAATTTTGAAGGAAGTCGTAACAAAGAAAACTGGATTTAAAAAGCATACAAGCTGATAAACCATGTGGTCAATGAATTGAGACTAAACTAGTTGGTTAACTTTCACATTTCCTGTGACTGACACAGAGTCATTTTCACTGACTGGAAGTAAACAATGCCGAGTTTGTCATATAAATATATGAAGTCAAAGAAGTAAAAATAAACCCAATAGGTTAGCACAATTTGGTGCGGAACGACGTTTTAACTGTAGTCTTATAACTTACATCTCAGCAGTTGTTATTCAAGATATAGAAGGTACATTGAAGTTGAAGCTGGTGACAATCTTGTTACAGAAACAACTGAATCAACCTGAATACTTAATTAATCAAATATAACGAGCCCTCTTATTTCACTGTTTTCTTTATGCACATCACTAATACTACTTTTATTGCTGTTTTTTTCGCTGACAAACTTCAAATCTTACTTTGTAATATTTGTAAAACACTTATAATTCTTGCCAACCTTAATAATGACAATTGTTAATATTCGTTCCTTCCCTTTCAAATAGAAAATGGAGCTACAGCGACACATATGCATTGTCGTCTACCCTCTACCGTTAATTTCACCATGCTCCACGACTGCCCACAAACTTCCATTTCCTGTTCACAAAATTTCCACTTCACCCTCGGACGCTGTCGCGTACCTTGGTCACTTATCTTCTCTGTGTTCACCCTTAGCCCACCGTAATCAGAAATATCATCGGTGACAGTAGGCAGTCTTGTCTTACTCCTGTCTCCATTTTCGAACACCCCCACATTTTTTGTTGAGAATTACTTGGCATCCGATACCATCATATAGCTGTTAAGTGATGTTTGCATTATTGCTCTGTGTAGCGCTGAATTCGTTGCCGAATCACTTCATGTTATATATTCTTGAGGGCTTTTTCACAGCTCACTGACAATCTAGGCTCTGTCCAAAGATGATGCATAGAGTTGATATTGAATCCTCAGATGATTCGTCTATCCTGAATCCTGCCTGTTCGAGGCGAAATCACACACACATAGCATCTTTTGGTCTTTGTAGGATGACGTGGCTTTATGTTCTGATCAGGGTGAACAGGAGTGTGATTCTTCACCAGTTCTTGCGTAATCTTAAGTCTCCATTCTTTGGGAATTTGACAAGGTGGCATTGCTTCCTTTCGAAAGTTTCCTCTGCTTTGCTCCACACCTTCTTCAGCAGTAGCATGAGCATGTCCGTTGAGGATTCTGGGTCCGTTTTCAGTGCCTCTGGATGGATTTCATCTGGTCCCTCTGCCTACTAACTCATACCCGATCGACATTTTTCTAATGACCGATATGTGACTCAATTCTTTTTTGACTCCCATCCTTCACTCTATATCTGGTCCCTTTATAACTGGCTACTTTTCTATAAAGGCAACAAAATTGGCGATGATTTCTTAATTATTTCGACTGTAATTTGGTTAATAATACCACTTGTAAAACAAATGTCTATATGTGAGAGCAAAACTAGTTCATTGTGGTAGATAGAATAGATATCTTAGAAACACATTGGAGATTTTTAAAAAACAGTAATAAAGTATTATTTATTCACTGATGACGTTTCAAGCACTGTTTACTGTTTATAATTATATTCATTGAAGATATACCCATTCAAAATTTCAAAGGCTAATTAATGAACAAAGAATACTCTTTTCGATAAATTTGTCATTAAATTCTACATTTATGTGACTCTATGAGTATGAATAGATTTTAATAAAAACATGACTCTTGAGAATTCATCAGTTTATATTTGCTGTTACTTATATTCATTTACTGTAGAATATTGGTATTCACTTTAGTGTTACAATTATACATATTACCATACACATGTTTTGGACTATAATCTATTAACAATCTTTGCAAATTACTCGTTGAAATCCTGATCTCAGTGATTCGATGTTGCTTTTCAAAAACACTAATGTTAATAACAATATACTCCATCATTATGGATATATACATATATATATATATATATATATATAACTGTAGGACCTGATGACGAATCAGTAATCAATCTTATATGACAGTAATAATTAGAGAAATATTGTTATTAAAAACATTAAGGTTTTAAACTACATCAAAACAATAGTACCGACAGATTACATTTCAAAAGCATTAAAAAGAGATAGTAGGAGATAATATAACACTTAACAACATATAATATAAATTAAGGGAAGTAACATAGAATTTGTGAATTTATAGATCCGACTTGGCTGGACTTGTTTCTTTTGCACGCTGTGCTCAGACTGATTTAAGCGAACTGCAATGGCATACGCAGTTTGAAGTGCTTGGTATATAAGTGACCTTTGGCATCATTGATATAAGAATAAAATAAAATTTGTGCACTGTGGTAGAGTATAACTCGATTATGGATAATATTTTATTTTGATAAACCACACAGTGTTATACAGTAACTGATGACGTTTCGAGCACAAACTACTGCTTATAATCATATCAAGTCGCTCACACAACTTTTTTCACTCATTTATATACATGAGTGGAATTGATTAGATATTTGAATAAAAATTCAATATAGGATCATGTATATTCAGTAATAACAATATGAGTTGTAATTGATCAAATGCAATCAGATGAACGACTGTTTTTATAGTCAAAATAAGTAACTTGTTATAATGTAGGTGAATTGAAATAGAATTTTAAGATTATTTATTATCCTCCTCTGATTTGACTGGTTGTAATATATCTATAGTATTTGCATTGAGTCATTTCTGTTGCACATGTTGGGTGTAGACTCGATGAACCAGGATACAGTAATCAATCTCTCTCTCTCCACCTACCTATATTACTTCTTAGAATCTTAACCCTCTCTCACACTATTGTGTGTTAATGCATGCAGTACTATCTTGTATTTTTTTACTAAATTACTTATCTTCGTGGGGTCAATCGATCTAACCTTAGCTAAATTCGTATGTTCTGATAATCTCAATACCTCTGATCTACTAGTTTGGCCTATGTAGTTGACCTCACAGTCATTGCGAAGTATTCCGTATATTATATTACTTTGTTTAGTTGGGTACACCTGGCCTTTTAGCCTACAGAGCTTGTCTCTGAGTGAGTTTTTAGGTTTGAATGCGACGTTAATTCCTGCTTTATTACGAAACCAACGCAGGGTCTCAGATGTTCCCCTCTTAATATGCTAAAACCTAAGATGCCTCATATTCTCGTTTATTTGTTTTATTATTATTAGTTTAACTACTACTTTTCTTTGCTTTTGGCCTTTTTGATTTTTCTAATCAATGTTGTAGGATAGTTATTTAACACTAACGCTTCTTCTATACGTTTCATTTCATTATTTCGGTTTTTTGTTGTACTAATCAGTGTTATCGCTCTGCTTATCAGACATTTAACTAAACCTGCCTTTGCAGATAACGGATGAGATGAATTGAAGTCTAAATATCTATGAAATGAATTGGCTTTTTATAAACCCTGGTTTTCAGTTTATCTTCTTCCGTTCCTTTTATTTTACAGCCCAACATGGCTAATTCTCTTTGTTCATTTTCCGCTTTAAATGTAAATTGTATTCCCTCCACTAGTGAGTTTATATGCGTCAAGAAGCCAGAGATATGTTCCGTTTCTAACACTGTGAAAGTGTCATCCACATATCCCCACCATATTTTTGGAGTAGGATTAAATGTATTTAGAGCAACATTTTCCCAGGGGGATATAGGTAATCCCATCGCTATACCATTTGTTTGTTTGTAAATTTGGCCTTGAATTTGAAGACAGTAGATGTGAGGCATAAATGAATTCCTAAAATAATTTTCTCACTGGGCAGCTTTTTCCTGTGACTAAGTTCGGAATCAGAAGTTAGTTCCCTTTTAACTGCTTCTAAGGTCATATTGATTGGTATGTTAGTGTACAGACTAGTTATATCAAAACTGAACATTTTTTTCATTATTCTTTAATCGAATGTTATTTAATTTCTTTTACATTTCATATGAATTAGTTACCCTAGAGTTTGAATGATTTCTAATGTGTAAGTTGATATGATTATGAGCAATAGTTTGTGCTGGAAGTCATCAGTTAATATTACTGTATAACACTGTGATTTTTCAAAACTCTGTGGTCCGTTCGGACCAGGTGATATTTTGAAATGTAATCTATCGACACTATTGATCCAATGTAATTTAAAACACTAATGTTGTTTTAATAACAACATTTCTTTACTGTCAAATAAGTGTAGGACCTGATGACGAATTCATAGAAAAGAAGAATATTCTTTTTTCATTGATCAGTCCTAAAATTGTATCATATTCTGAACACTATATTTCTGAAGTTCAAAAGAATATTTTCTTCATAGTGTAGTTATCATCGCTGATTATTCAATTTTCAAATCTTTTGTCTGAATAAAATAAGAATTACAACAATACCTACATGTCATTATATATAGTATTTGAATAAAAATACTGAATAAATTAAAAGTAGGCAGATGCTTATAAATAGTTTCAACATATGCATTTATTAAATACAAAGTCCTGCTAAAAGCTGTCAGATCTCTCTAAAATTATCTCACATGTTTATCGAGTCATCAGCGATTTTAAAGAGCTGTTCACTTTGTTGTAATTGACATCTCAGTGCTTGTCTCTTCTAGTATTTCACCTTTATTCAAATGAAATTACTACTTTCAATGTTTATTTGATGACAGTTGGAGTAGATACTAGTAGAAACCTTCAAGGTTGCAGATACACCTTGATGACGAGTGCCAAATAACACGAAATCTAGGTCCAAGGCTTCCTGCCAATTGCCTCTAAGCATCTAATATCATCAATCCAATGTGCACCGTGATGGCTACCTAGAATGGTGGCCACATTGCAAATCTGACTGATAGAATTCAGCCTGCACCAAAGAAAGGTCTAGACACATCACACTATTTACTAGTATCCAGTCAAAGTATTAGTAGAAACCAATAAACATAATAGCGTGTTGATACCTCGATGAAAGTAGTGCAGTGTATATCGGTCCAACCTCAGCAATAAGTCCAACTGCTAGAGTAGCTGAAACACACGCCTGTAACCTGACATAAAAATGCTTAAAGACTCAACTATCACTCTCTTTGAATTAATTGTTCCTCACTAATCTGAATCTACCCTCAAGTGCTATCATCCGCATATCCATTATGGTACTTCAAGTCCATATTTTTTAATTTAGAGAACCTTAGGGTACTCACTGACTTATTTGTTTCACCATACATCCTTCTGTAATTAAAATTATTTTATAAAAAATGTCACTTCAAAAGGTAACTACATGATTCATTCCACATATTACCTTGAATTTCAGGTCTATCTGGTAATGCACTTTTTATGTAAAATTTGGATATTGGATCGTGCAATGTAGTTCCTCGAGTAATTGATCCTCCTGAATTAGCTAAGTGATTATGATGACCAACTACTGTCATCTCGTAATTAGCCTGACCAGCTTGTACAAGTCGCAAAGCCCCATCTCTACTCAAAAGTATGCACAAAGCTTTATCAGAAGGCTTTGAAACAATGGAAACCCAATCTGCACTAACTAAAGAATGATGAACCGATCCAGTAAACTCAATCATACATAGAAGCAGCATCTGAAAAACAAATTCACACATGAAAATTTGTGAGGAACTAATAGTGTGAAAAATGACCATGAAAACCATACTCAAATAGGAATCTCCTTCGCTAAACATCCACCAACGCCCACATAACTACCTGGGAATGCTAATTGACTTACCGATTCAAACTCTTCATAGGCTTGTGTCATTCCTGTAAAACATACCTCAAACTTTGGCATTACAATGCATAATTCTCACTTAAAGATGCTGATCACCAACTGTTTAACTGCGACTCAATGTTGAATGTCCCTTCTTCAGACAGATCTGCACCACCGAAATTCTTTACAGAATGTAACATGAAGATGAAGTCAGAAAAAGTAACAGATTGAGCGAAGATATTCCTTTTCAATTAGTTCCTCATCATCAGCTCTACACTGATAAACAGTTTATTTACATCAAAATTTTACCAATCAAGTGGTTATTTTAGTTAATCAGTTTTAGGTATAGGGAAGTGGAAATAAGAGATTAAAAGTCATCAATTATGTAAGTGTAGAACTTGGGCACTGTGGTAGACTGTAATTCCATAATATATAAGTTTAATTATCACAATGATGCAGTATTAACAACTGGATTACGTTACGAGCATAAATTATTGCTCATAATCATATCATATTGACAAGCCTACTGGTCTGCAATATAAGTGTCCAGGCAACTGATGGAGGATGAACACTTGACCAATGAATTTCGATGAAAACCAACCTATATCACATGAACTAGGTTCACAGCATCTTTCAAAGTCTGTAAGGTATGATGGCAACTAGTACTTTCTATCTGAATGTTAAGAGAATAATAACCTGGTGACTATTATATGTGGCTCACTGGATTAAGTATCCCATTTTTAGCGGAAATTTCTGTGGTTCGAATCACATTCGACTTACTCTAACCTGAGCAACTGAGTAGTACGATCAGCTGTCATACATTAAAAATATGCTTTAGAGCCTGGTACACGAAGGATATGTTTAGGACAAGTTAGTTCAAATAGGAAAGCTGTTACGTTCACTGAACCGGCTTTTTCAACGGTTATAACGAGATCAAAGTGAGTTTTTTTATTGGAATCCCACTCCTCTACCTAAAAGAAGATCAAGGTAATCTGTCAGGGACGGATGCCGTTCGGAATTCTCTTTTGTCTTCGTTGCTGTAATCAGTACTAGACGACTTTGACACAATACGTTTTAGAGAAAGCAAGTATCATACTGGAAATCAGCTAAACTGCATTCATAAGTTTTCCATCTAGTATACTAAGCGTTTCTGATGGTTGGCAGCTGACAAATGTTTCACACACAAATTTATTAACACTGGGCTACTTGATAGCAGTTTCAGATAAGCTAGAATGGCCTCCAGCAAAAAGAGACGTTATTGCAATAAGCGAGAATCAATGCATGAGGTCAGTGCGTAATCAAATCAGGTTAATAATATGGTGATAGATGTCCGGTATGGAAATAAGCCTGTCAATTGTATTATAGGAGGGTAGACAGACAACCAACAGAATATCTTTTCTCACACACCTACGTTGTTGGACCAAGGCTACATGATTTTTTCTTTGTTCCATAATGTATATATATATATATATATATATATATACCCTTTAGTAAATGTACTTCCCGTCTCACCTCTTGCTTAAGTAGTAGGCTGGGAAAATCGATTAACTGTTGCACACATAAGCGCAAACAAGCGATATTTCGTGATTACCATATCTGAGACCATCTCAGAATCCCCATTCGACTTCAACATTACCAAAATATAAAAGTCAAATACGAACATTCACGACACCAAGGACTTCAGAATCTTGCACGATTCAGTCTTTCTTCGATGTTATTTCGGATTTTAGATATAAATAACAACTGAAAAGTATTACTTAGTCACATAACTTCGCTATAACATATGAGTGGTCACTCCATACAGTGATGGTAGTGACTTGATTAGTGTTTTGATATGCTTGGATACCGAAGTGGTGCAACTTACTATTATTCCCATGGGTTCCGAATGGCTTGAATAGCACGTCTTCATTCAATCCTGTTCTCTACAACACTCTTCAGCTGGTTCCACAACCGCCTATTGGCTCTCATCTCTTCCTTACACGATCTCCTCCATGTCACTCAGATGCCCAAATAGTCATTTCCAATTCGGATTCCACGAGAGTATGTCTAGTGCGTGATGTCACTCAACGGTCTCCTCAGCGTGTATCCTGTCTACCCCCATAGCCTGCGTCATATTTCTTATGGGATAAGGTCTTGGTTAGTTCGTGACCAGAGTCCCTCGCTGATAATCATTTCCGACCATCTGAACTTCAGTGTCGAGTGAAGGTAGCTATTTATAAAAGTCTGCAGTCTGTTGGTGATGCGCCAAGCCGCTGAACCACTTAGACTGAAACCTTCAAGCACATGGGATTTGAACATGCTCCACAAAATTCAATCCGATGGTCGATAGTCTTTAAAAGCCTAGCGAATACCACCATCTAGCATATAGACGTCTACGCAGTCACTTTGGTTTTTATTGCAGTCAAGCGTCATAAAACGAGATAAAAAATAAGACCAACTAGTTACACGAAAGTACTGAAATGAATGGGAGTTAGATCCTTGAAAAATATTATTCAAAACTTCGACATATAGAATGTCAACAAGCACGATGCACAGACATCTTTGACTACCATTTAGTTGACTTTCGCCATGAACTTAAAATCTTTGTCCTGCTTTCACACAACTAGCAATAACCCAAATTTCTATCACATCTCAATAAGAATTTATGATTCTTTATATATCACTTAGCACCGATGAGTTGTTAGACATAAGCAAAATCTGATTCTCACCTCAGTCAAAGTGTTACGTCAATTTATTCTAACTACAGATCACAGAACAAACAGAACACGGATTTCAAATGAGACCTGAATATAAGGCCTATAAAATCCAAAAATGTAGACTCAACTCACTTGTCTTGGTTCCCACACGCATACAGAATCAAACTGTAAACTAAGTAGATGAGTTAAGCTGGAAAAACCTGGCGTAAAACATAAATGCCGAATTGAAGGTAGGACACTACAAAGACTAGTATCCAGCATTATGTCTGGATCAAAGTATTGTTCATTTAAAGTCCCAATAGCCTGATCAAGGTAATTTGACTGAGAAGTTGGAATAGTTGTTCTAAACAGCGTTCTCTTGCCATGTAAATCTCGAACAGCTACAAAGCCATCAGAAGTACCAAAAGCGACCAAGTCAGAAAACCAAGCAACGGTATTTATTCGATTTAAGCTGACAGCTGGTAGACCACTCAAGCTACATTTTGACAAATCAGGACGGAAGGATAATATCTTATCAATCACCAAACAAATACAAATTTAATAAACAATACAAGATTATATTTCAGTATCAAAACGTAAAGCCACCAATTTTTCCTATACTACTATGAAATAAAATCTAGCAAAGAATCACTTAAAACATTCAGAAGTTAGCAGTAACAGAGAATGAATGAAATACCTATTAGCGAACTCTAATAGAGACGTATTATTATTATTCCCTTAGATTCCGAATGGAACATAGGGCTTGAATAGCGCGTCTCCATTCAATCCTGTTCTCTGCAACACTCTTCAGCTGGTTCCACAACCGCCTATTGGCTCTCATCTCTTCCTTACACGATCTCCTCCATGTCACTCAGATGCCCAAATAGTCATTTCCAATTCGGATTCCACGAGAGTATGTCTAGTGCGTGATGTCACTCAACGGTCTCCTCAGCGTGTATCCTGTCTACCCCCATAGCCTGCGTCATATTTCTTATGGGATGAGGTCTTGGTTAGTTCGTGACCAGAGTCCCTCGCTGATAATCATTTCCAACCATCTGAACTTCAGTGTCGAGTGAAGGTAGCTATTGATAAAAGTCTGCAGTCTGTTGGAAACGCTTTTGGTAACTATATAGAGGGGCTGATTTGACTAGTGTTGGAAATCTGAATTCTGCTCCCCAACTTGTTGGTTTTGGTTCATACACCTCCGAGTTTTTATGACAGCCATAAATCGTATGTAAAGCCTAAACTTCCCAGTGTCTTCCCGTTAGTCCAACGTATGCCCGTCTTCTCATTTCCACGGTGTATTGCACGATTCAGTCTGCCACAATCAGGCATATTGTCGGTGATAGTCGGCAGCTTTCACTTCGAAGGTTTTATTGACCTTTCCATTGTGAAACATTTGCCACGTGCTATTTTTTGATAGCTGCTGAATGAGATTGATAAAGATTCGGGGTACCCATTAGTGTTGAAGCAGTTTTCAAATTACTTCACGGTCGACCCTAACGAAGACGTTTTCACAGTCGATGAAGTTGATGTAGAAAGTTGGCTATCTTTCTATGCTGTCTGATGACGATGCGTAGAGTAGCCATTTAATACTAGGTCATTTGGTTTTCCTGAATCCAGCTTGTTGAAAGCAAAGTTTCACAGTCGGTGCATCTTTTTATCTCTCCAGGATGACACAACCTAATATTTTGCTTAGGATGAACAGAAGCATGATTCTGCGCCTATTTTCTCAAAGGTTTAAGTGGCCCTTCTTTGATAGTTTTATAAGGTAACCTTTCTTCCAATCAGCAGGTACATTCCCTTCTTACTAAACCCTCTGCAATAATAGCATGAGCATGTCAACTGTAGTCACTGGATCCGTTTTCCTGTGTTTCCGGAGGAATGCCGTCTGGTCCTGCAACGCTCCAGGCTGGCTTTCAGTAATTTCATAACATCCAAGACTTCTGCTTTCGCCGGAGAAGTGGTGTTCACTGGCAGTTCCGTGGCTGTTGACACGCAAGAAGATGTGATTCGGTTAGTCATATCCAGGAATTCCTGCTGACTCATCTGATAACAATTCAAAATATTCATCCAGTTCGACATGAACCCTAATTACAATAAATACTATGGATACAAATTAATTTACATATAAACAAGTGAGAAAATATTAAACTCATAATTCATAGGATTTTTGAAATAAACAATACATTGTATGAGCATAGAAATAATCAAGATAACATAATAGGTAGAAATAACTGAAGTGTAATAGAGACTTTCGCGAAAAATAATAGTGCTTAGTGAGACCACTGTTATTAAATTGACTGAAAAACTCTAAGAATCACTTTAACTAATTCATCACAGCATTTCAGTGGTGAAATACAAGCATCAACTAACTTATTCTTATCATGAAGACTATCAAAAGTCTACGATGAAATAAAGCAGCAAGACCTAATACTTGCCAACAGAGGTATAACAGAATAAATCCCAGAAAAAAGGGTGATAATGATATAGATATAATATGTTGTATGTAAACCAGAAACACTTTCACACTAACTATTAACCACACTAATACAAGAAAGAACAGTGGGACTGAAACAATAACGCTGGCCGCTAGTCTAACCAAGTAACTTTCTTACTTTTTTAAGTTCAGCCAATATCCAACTGAAACACGAGAACTGTGAACTGAGAACATTTTAGATTTGATTGAAGTCCGTTAATTACGTCTTAAAACTACATTATTTTCTAGAACACATGCAAATGCCTTTCTACTTCTCTTACTTTCTCTAAATGCCAAAATGTCAGAGTGAGCGAAAGTAAAGTTCTCCAAAACAAATAGCTACATTACTAACCCTTCTTAAATTTTTATTCATTGCATATTCATGGTGACGATTTTTCTATGGGAATGGAAGAAGGGAAGTAAACTCCAAATTTCGTGAAGAGATCAATATATATAAAGAGGTAATAACTACGAACCAATGGTGCACTTGAACAACAGGCACTGGAAAGGATGAATAATGTTCCAAATTATTTTGGTTATCTGTAACCATGAAAATTCAAATTCTAGGAACTGCTTTAGTAAATTATGAATTAAATTTTACGTTAAATGTTGAGACTAATCTCCTACCTTAAATACTTACTTCGATAGAAGATGAAACAAAATGCCTCCACTATTAGCCTATTGAAAAGGATCAGTAAACAGAATCAAGTATAACATTTACTTACATTGTATTAGAAACCGAAGTACTATCCACTGAATCTTTATTCACTGCAATTAAACGAATACTACCGTCAGAAGTGCACATTATGCATGATTCACGATTACGAGATAACTCCTTCGTATGCATATAATCTCCTGATCTAATTAAAAAATATAAAGTATGCGAATAAGGTTCAACTTACGCAACTAAAATAAATGAACTGACTAGAAAACATACAGTTAATCTGTAAGATGATTAGTGTGAAATTTAATTATGAATCAACCATCACAAAGATGTATACCACTGCTACAGGTTGATCATGCAGTATAGCTGACCATACAAAAAATAGGTAGAGTTAAATGAACATCCCCTAAAACATAAATATATATACAACCACATGTAGACGGACAAATTATATATATATATATATATATATATATATATAAACTCGATTGCTATACTCCTTGTCTTCCAAATATGCTCCTCAGCATGACTTAATACACTTCTGAGTTGTCCCAATCGATCATTTCTTAAGTGAAAAATAAATCGGTAAGCATGCCCCTGGATTATGTGATAAACATTTAGTCAAGCAACTAATATGAGTTTAGAACTGAAAACAGAAATGAATTCGTGAAACGTAGCATCATGACTAGCGGAAATTACTTAGTAGGTTCAAAATACAAAACTATGTTAGAAGAGAAGTGAAGAGACGCTTCCTGGACAAACTTAAAAATGCAGAAAGAATGCAAAAGTATAGACTCGAAAACAATAACTTTAAATTTTCAATGCCTAGCCGTGTAAGACCTCTTAAGCGTAACATGAATTATTTATTGTTCATGAATTTATGGTTTAATCATAACTTTAACCTAATACGCAAAAGTATAATAACTTCAACACATAAGTTCTGCATTTTGTTAGAAAGTAGATATGAAAAATAAATAAATGAAGACTATATAATAAACTTACTTCAGACTTTTCTGTGAGTCTCTTCGACCTCTCTCTTTATAAGGGGAATGACACCAGTCCTAAGAAAAAGTGTAAGACATAAAAACGTTGGAATTTTCTCGCAAAATATTACGCCTAAAACAGTGAAACTCAGTAATGTTTACGTGTTTGATTAGTTGACTACAATACCACTGTAAAGACTGGAGGTACCCAATTGAGGGAAATCGAAAGATACTCCATTCATCAAAAACTATAATTGAGTTTCTAGATTGCTGAACTACACTACCCAATATGTCAAATACCCAAATGTATGTCAAATAAACATTATCAAAAGTAACAACTTTTAAAATCCCATTTTCAATCATTATAAACCTATGACAATTACTCAGTTAAATAAAAAACAAAAGTACATACATAAAGACCAATCATATTTAAAAGGTCATGTAGTCCATGGTAGGCGAAGATTGAAGTCTATTGTTTTTTGGACATACAGTTTAGGCTGTATGTGATTGATTCAAAGTGCTTCCATCACCTTTAATAACCTTGAATTAGAGTTATGTGAAATAATTGTGAAACAGTCATTAATATTGATTTTGTGACCTGATATTAACAAGTGTTTTGCAATGGATGATGTTGGATTTCTATTCAGATTAATCGCGTTGGGATTTTCGATATGATTTAATAGCCATTTTGGAACATGTTCTTTTCGACGACATTGGAACATTCTGTTGGTTCTACCTATATAGGTGTCACCGCAGCTGCAGGTGAACTTGTAGATATACAGTTTGAAGTAGAGTCCACAGAATTTCGTCCTTTAATCGTAGGAACAGGGATCGAAAATGTTCGGCATGTGAGAAAAAGAGATGCGGTGTAGAATGTGCGTTTGATGACTGACCGAAGTTTTTGAGCTGTTAACTGCATAATCTGGTCACCCTGAATGGTAGGTTAATAAAGATAGCTTTCTTTGGTACAGAAGCTGTCTTTTCGAGATGTGGTTTTTCTTTACTGTGACAAGTGATAAAGTTCTCCAGATAACCACTAGCTAATAAAACTGAATGTATATGTCGAAATTCACCTATCAATATGTCACTCGTGCATATTTTACGGGCCCTTGAGAACAAACATTTCACTAGGCAACTGAGTAGTTGCCATGATCTTTATTTCATTATTGTTAATCATGTTATTTGTAAAGCGGTTGTAAAGAAACTACGAAATGATATCATCTCGCGGAATTTGTCTTCTTAATACCTTATTCAAATTTATCAAAGGGACTAATTGTTTTAATTATTAACCTCTTGATAATAAAACTAGACATTAATGACAACACAACACGCGGTCCGGCGAAGAGTCACTTACCGTAAATTCCTTTTCTATAGCTGTACAATCGTATTCATATACTCTTTTCATGTACAAATGGAAGTAACAAAAGTGATGAGTTGTAACAAGCATAGTAATGACATGGATTCACACAGAAACGGAAGAAACTAAAGAATTACGTAAGAGTTCGATTCCTCTCAACTTTCAGCTCGATATTCTTGCCGATGAATTTTAAAGAGTGTCCATTTTGGACAAAAGTTTCTTTCAGATCTAGTTCTGCTTCCAGGACGTCAGTACTGTACATGCGTCGGATCAAAGTGGCAAGGGATTTTAGTTCAACAAGCCACCCAACTGTAGAAACTTGTTAGCTGACCGTTACAAGTGAGTCTTCTATGGATTGACCTTCTTAATGTTTCGTCACGTTAGTTAGTTACTTCCACATTAAGAAAGGAAATTTTGAATTTGTTTTCCATTTCTAAATAGAATTTTATTGTCGGATGATAGTTGTTAAATACTTGTAGCAATTGACTGGGGTCATATCTACTATCGCAAATGATGAAAATGTCATCTACGCACCTTTTATACAGTTGTAATTTATAAATGTTTGTATATAAATGAGATTGTGCAGCTAAGGAAAATGAATTCGCCGAAAGAGACTCTTCGCTGGACTACATGTTTTGTTTTCATCAATAAAACTAAAGTTGTCAGAACATTAAAATAACGTATTTCACCGAACGGCATTAAAATGCATATGGATCGCCACCCCTTCACTAAATTTAGGGTACAAATTACCCATACATTTACCTCCCATAATCCGAACACTCCATTCGACCTAGAAAATTGCTTAAATAAGCAACCCCGTTTAGGATTTTGTACTAAGGGATGGATCAAATATATTGTGAAATAATTTGAAGCGATAGCCAAATCCACGTGATCCCACGAAATTAATGGAAAACGGCTTAAATTTGTCAAAATCGAGTTTAACGCTCAGAATATTACTGATTGACAACACATACACGCACACCATATTCTTATATTTAGGAGTTGCATGAGCACATCATAAAACCAAAACTATTCCTTAATCTAACAGCAGTCTGTCTGTTACATCATTTTTTGTAAACGTGATCTATTTACTTCGAGTATATATTTACATCAATATTTCTACGTATTACCATAATGGGCTTCATAAAAATTCATATGGAATAAGATATGTATTTTCGACAGAATAAAATAGTGAACGTTAAAATCTATTTCAATACACATTATAACACTCACAAGTTATTTATTTTATTATAAATCGTCTTATTTTTCACCTTATTGACTAACAACACTAGTCTTAGTTGCCATTCTATTATGTTTTATTGAAAACACCAAGATTGTTCCGAATTTATTTTATCTTCCTTTCTGTTTCACGCATCTTACATTGATTTATTCAAATTTCTAATCTATTTTCACTCATGTGTATATCCGAAACAAGGAAGTCATATGAGTACCTTGATATGATTATGAGCAATAAATTGTGCTCGAAACGTCACAAGTAAATATTACTATATAACACTGTGACTTTATCAAAATAAATTTTATCCATAATGAAGCATCTCCTATATATTCTACGAGTTGATCACGGATTGATATCAGTTAGAGAACCATTGAAAACCAGGGAGTACTGGACAGCTGCTGTTTCATCCTAGTTTGGGAATCATCGGCAGTACGCACCCACTGGGTTTCGAAATATACTTTATTCAAATTTGAGAAGTTTTATTGTCACCTCTGTATTGGTAATGTAACCACGTACAACCTTTAACATAATTCTATGATTTCGTTTGTAGTCACACTATTCGACAAAATGTTTGAGGTAAGTGTACGGCCATACTGTCAAATCATATATATATATATACATATATATATATATATATATATATATATATATATATATATATATATATATATACATGTGTTTATGTTATCGAAATGAATTATCACACCGCCACATATTATAGAAATGCAGGAAAAATGTAGTACAAACAACCAAAAGAAATACCCGTTATAAGTTAAACACTATGTATATCTAACTTGGACCAATCTGTATACTTTCGAACACTGAACTTGTGGATATAATATTATTGACTACTAATACCTATAACGAAGTGTTTGACATTTTGTGACCTTTTAACACTAACTCATATCTGCAATTGTATATATTGTTGGATTTATATGTTCAAGTTGGCCGAAGTCAGTGAGTCTATGGTTTTGTGGTAAGAAATCTATGGATCGTAAAATGGATAATAATAATAATAATAAGTGATTCGTTTAGAAATATATTGCTTAATTTGGTCAGAGAACTTCTTATTGTCGTATTGAATTTTTACTTACTTTGAATGCTATCGTTAGGAATTTGTGCAAGCAGCATGCCTTTCGCCAAAAACAGGTTATTCTTATAACTGGCTTGCTGAAAACTGATCAGCCAGTCATCATAATTTTGTCCGATTAAATGATTCTAAATGGCTGAGAGAGTGCCTAATTTTTATAGACTTGAACTCATTGCTTTTCAAATAATAATCACAAAAATAATGGTTTCCAAGGTCAGTCTAGTCAGCAGACTGTTTGAAGTAACCATATAAACTTAATAAAAAACACATGCTTCATATGATATCATCACCTCATAAAATTTAAAGCATTTTGTTCCCCTTATGAATTTTGAAAAAGCAGTGAGAAGGCGCGCGCCTTTCGATTCAGTGCGTTACTTTTTGCAGTAATTTATAGAACTCTCATTTCTTTGCTATTGCTCACCACGAAGTTCTGGAAATTATTGAATTCCGTTAACTTTCGAACGCTTAAACCCTGGATTTACTATTATTGACTACTAATACCTATAACAGAGTTTTTGGACATTTGTATCTTTTAACAACAACTTATATGTAAAATTGTATATATTATTGGATTTATATGTTCAAGTTGGCCAAGTCAGTGAGTCTGTGATTTTGTTATCATTTTAGTCAACTGTGCTGAACTATATTGCATGTTGTTTTATTGTATCGTTGTTGTCGCTTTTTGCCCTTTTTACCGTGAATTATTTTCCTTTCGCTGGTGTTGTTCTGATTGTTTTATCTCTTGTTATCTGATTTTAAGGGGAGCAACCCACAAGGTTGCTTCTCTCTAAACTTAACTTAATGTAATCATTCCTTTCTCAGGCGTGAGGCTAGCAACCTCACCCTGTAAACAAAATTGCTACAGAAACTTCAGCACGATGAACCTCTTTGCACCAAAAGAAAAAGTCTGTGTGGGGACATGGAACGTCCGCACTATGTACGACATTGGCAAAGCTGCCCAGATCGCAATCGAGATGAAAAGATACGGAATCCAAGGGCTGGAAATATGTGAAAGCAGATGGAACGGGAATGGACTCACCAAATTGTCAACGAGTGAGTCAGTGATCTACTCCGGTCACCCAGAAGATAACCACACGCACACCGAGGGCGTGGCTAACATGATGTCACCAACGGAAACAAAGGCCCTGATGCAATGGGAGGCGATCTCGTCCAGGATAATGACCGCCAGATTCAACTCCAGAGGAAGAAGGAAGGAAAGTGTACAATGTTATGCACCCACAAACAACGCAGACCTCGAAAAGAAAGAAGAATTCTACAGACAACTACAGCCAACAATGGACAATACTCCAGCTGGTGACATTAAAATACTAATGGGAGACATGGACGCCAAACTGGGACCAGACAACACAGGAAGGGAACTCATCATGGGTAGAGAAGCTCTTGGAGAAATGAATGAAAATGGAGAACTCTTCGCCGACTTCTGCGCCTTCAACGAACTAGTGATTGGTGGTAGCGTATACAAACACAAGGCTACATAGGTGTCACCAGATGGGCGAACCACAAACTAAATTGACTTCATCTCAATGCTGCTCAAGGAAGTGGAGGTGCAGCCTACTGGACACGAAAGTAAGAAGAGGAGCAGACGTTGGCTCAGACCACTATCTCGTACAAGGGACAATCCAAATCAAATTAAAAGCTTTCAGGGAAACAGGAGCTGCAGATAGACCACAAGCCAAGTTCAACACTCAAAAGCTGAAGGACCGGGCTACAAAGGACATCTTTATTGCAAGCATAAAGGACAAAGCCGAAACACAAATCAACACTAGCGAAGAGATCGGCGTCGAAAAGCACTGGGACAACTTGAAAACGGTGTGGGGTCAAACCTGCATGGAATTTCTAGACAGGAAGAAGAGACAGGACAAACACTGACTCACTACGGACACTTGGAGACTAATAGAAGAGAGAAGGATAGTGAAACAAAAGATTATCCAGTGCACCGACGAGCAACAAAAACAGGAGTTGAATGCAAGCTACAATACGCTGAACAAAAGAGTGCCAGGAAAGACAAAAGAAAATATTATGAAGCCATGTCAAGTGAAGCAGAACAAGCTGCAGGCAAAGGAGACTTCGCCACACTCTACCAAACAACTAGGCACCTGTCGGGAAAAGTTCGACACAGATTAAGCCAGTAAAGGATGACAATGGAAAGTCAATCACCAAAGAGGTGGAGGAAAAAAAATACTGGGCGGAACACTTCAAAAGACTTCTAAATCGACCGCCACCTACAACGTACCCAACAATACCAACAACAGAAGCAGAACTACCAGTGAACATCAACCCCCGACGAAATCAGAAGTCCTGAATGCAATCAAGATGCTAACAGCTGAAAAAGCAACAGGACAAGATGGAATCCCAGCAGAAGCATTGAAAATAGACCCCGAGACAACAGCGGACTTGATGACACCACTACTGGAGAAGGTGTGGAAAGAGGGCAAAGTACCCGAGGATTAAAAGAAAGGATACTTATTCAAACTACCAAAGAAAGGAGACTTAAGTAAATGCAAAAACTGACGCGGAATTATGCTCCTGTTCATCCCAAGCAAAATACTAAGCCGAATCATCCTGGAGAGAATCAAACAAGCCCTAGATGAAAAACTTCGACCGGAACAGGCCGGATTCAGGAGAAACAAGTCATGTATTGATCAAATCGCCACTCTACGGATCATCATTGAACAAAGCTTGCAAATGGAAGTCACCTCTCTATCTCAACTTCATCGACTTTGAAAAGGACTTCAGCGGACAGCGTCGATCGAGAGGTGATTTGACAACTACTTTGCTACTACGGGGTCCCATCGACAAGTATACATCTCATCCAACAGTTATACGACAATGCTGCATGCCAAGTAATCCACAACGGGAAACTTACGGAAGCCTTCAAAGTGAGGACGGGAGTAAGGCTAGGCTGTCTACTATTGTCAATGATCTTCCTGATTGCAGTAGATTGGATAATCCGACAGACAACGGGCAATGAGGAAACAGGCATAAAATGGATTCACACAAAAGACTTGGAGAATCTCGACCACGCCGATGATATATGTCTGATTTCACACAAACTGGAAGATATGCAAGTGAATAGCAACAAGCTGGCAGAAGAAGCATCAAAAATAGGAAGGACTTCAGGTGAACATAGAGAAAACAGAGGTGATGAAGATTCTTGGCCAACACCAACAGAAACAACAACAACAACAGACAACAATCAGCATAAATGGGAGGAACCTGAAAGAAACAGCCTCCTTTACCTACCTGAGAAGCATCGTTTCAACTACAGGCGGAACTGACGAGGGTATCAAAGCTAGAATCGGAAAAACAAGACAAGCTTTCATTACTCTCAAATCTGTGTGGAAGTCAACAGCAATCAGCATCAAAAATAAGATCCGGATTTTCAACTCCAATGTAAAGTCAGTGCTACTATACGGATCAGAGACTTGGCCAGCGTGTCATTAAGAGCATCTCAAACAAACTTCAGACCTTCATTAACAGTTGACTTCGCTCAATACTCAAGATCAGATGGCCGGCCAGAAAAGATCAGCAACAGGGATCTCTGGCAATGAGCGAACCAACCAGGAACCGATTGTGAAACAAATAGGCAGGAAGAAATGGAGTTGGGTTGGCCATACGCTGAGGAAACCATCAAGTGACATCACTAGACAACCCATTGCTCGAGTGGAACCCGAAAGGGAAGCGGCGAGTTGGTCGTCAGTGCAAGGGTGACTTGGAGGAGGTTATGTGAAGAGGAGATGAAAGCATGTGGGCAGACTTGTAGCGGGGTGAAAAAGTTGGCAGAAAACAGAAGGCTATGGAAACGCGTGGCTGAAGCCCTATGTTCCTCTAGGAATTAAAGGATATAATAATAATAATATTAATAATATCTAACTTACTAAAGCAACAGCTGTTACATCCGGTAATAGTGATAACTTCGTTAGCAAGGAAGAGTTGCATAAATTCCATATTTCTACAGGACCTTTCCGAACAATTATACCAACATATTGTCTGAAAATAACAGTGATATATATATAAATACATATATATATATATATATATATATATATATATATATATATATATATATATATATATATATATGATCTGCTTGATATTGCAAGTGGTAATGGTTGACGTCAGTGGTATTCAAAAACTTATATTAATCAATTAGTAGTATATACTACTAAGGTAGCATTTAGCAAAATAATAATGACCGTAAACTTCAACCTTAGGACTGAGTTACCCGGAACAGATTTTTTATGTGCCACACTATGAGCAACATTTATAGGGTTACTGATAACACTCAGTCGCCCAGATTGAATTGGGAGGATCAGGATTCAAATTCAAGACCAGCTGGCCTTATGCTAAGTGCCAAAGCAGACAAGCCACATCCCACAACTCATAATTAGTGTCTACCTCTTCTGGATTATAAAAGGTATTTGCTACGGTCAAAGAAATACCTATCAATCAATAAAGCTACTAATAATTATAATAAGGTATAAGCAACAAATAAAAATTACAGTTTGATGGCCAAATTAGGGTATTGAATACATAAACTTTAGGTTTAATGTCAGGGAATCCATCAGCTGTCACTGCTTTTTATAAATAAATCATTTCCTGCAGTATGTGTGAGTGAACTAGGAATATCCTTCCTATCATATATTCACTCAGATACAACACTACAGTCAAATTAACCTCGAAGAATGATGGGTGACATGGTGGAATTATCCCCATCACGTAACACATCGACCAATTAGGCTTTTTGTGGATATGGACACTAAGAAAGCTGCTGGAAGTAAAACAACCCACAAGACGAATAAAATTTCAATAAATTCTCAGAAAAGACAGTTAGAACTTTGGGTAGGACACATTTGAGTAGTTTAATTGGCTCCAGTTGCACTAGTTCCCACCGTTCCAACTGCAAAATTTAGTTCTTAGATTGGTTACTTTAGTGACATTTTACGAGAAATGTTCAAAGAACAAGCTAAAAGTGAATTGCTCTTAATAATTACGATATCTTCAAATGCCTTATACCGATGGATCCTTATTTATCACACTAATGGAAACCTCTCCATACTAATTCCAACTGGTTAAAAGGAATTAAAAATACTAATCGGATTCAAACATCAATTTATCGCATGCGTAACCATCAAGATATATAGATCAGTATAAGAGCAATACGAATTTATCATCCGAAATTCTTACCTTGTGTAACTAACACGAATAATATCGACAGGTCCTTCTAAAGAACGATCCTGATCATTAAGTCCAGATAAAAGTTGACCAAGGGAACCGCCTGTTCCCATACCAGAACCTGATTTGTTCATTTTTTCACAAGAAGCATCACGAAATACACGCATGTATCCTGTTAGCAAATCAACTGTAATCACAAAATTCTTCCCCATAGCATTAGTTTTATTCGAAGTATTTTCAGTAAGAGAACTTTGATGACCATCTTTTGGTTGCCAGCCATACACAATTAAGCCCAATGAATATTCATTTGTTCGTGACGTCAATGAATTGTCATTCTTATGACAATCTCTGTAAATTGTAAGAGGTATAGTTATCCACTCAATCCCTTTAATGGCTACTGGTAGCACATGATATTCACGCCATAATAAAGTTGATGATATATCCCAAATCTGTAAACAATAACATATTCATATGCAATCTAGAGATAAATATATTCATACACAAATGCTCAAAGCTCTTTCATAAAGTGGAGGAATGTCCTACCGAACTAGTGGAGAACTGAATAGCATAGCACAAGCTTCCAGTGAGGATCACTCAGTCACAGCAGCCTCCGATTATTTAACCAAACCTTAGTTAACTATTGCACAAATGAAGCATCAATATAGGCTTAATTAGAGATAATGTAACAGAGTAAATAAGCACTCTTCGAGTTGTAAAACTAAAGATATTTTGTACACCAAAATGACATTACCTTATTCCCTTAAGATCTTCAAAAGACTATTTTTGTTTACACTGATAGGATGACTACTTTCAATACATAGGAATGTAAATATGACGGCAATGATAGCAATATAAAGCATTTCATAAACTGCCTCGGCAATTATCCAGTTACATATGAGTCGAATGCTTACTGTCTTACCATAAAACTGCCTGCCTTTCGATAAATACGCAGAAACTTTGTACAAATTTATAAAATCATTACCATTATCAAATAGTACAAAAAAGCTGGGGGATCCTTATTTTATAACTACTTAAGTTAACCTATTGAAAAAATCAAGATAGACTGTATTAAACAAATAATTCAGTATTCCGAAAGAAGTATAATGTCTTTAATTTAAACCAGAACGCAAGACTAGTATATATTATTATTAGAAAACATACCATCGTAATCGATGACTCGAAAAGTACGAATTCAGTGATTAGTAAAAATAAGGAAAATAAAAGCAATCAAGTGTTACACTAAGAGTAGTCTAAAGAAAACCTAGAATTCCCGAAATGAAGATTTTAACTCGACACGGAACAAAATGTAGTATATTTACACTAAGAATTTAACTGCTGAGAAACAAGCAACTATCTTGCTATGTCATAAGCTTTACGAATATTGTTTAAAAATTCTATTGCTCTTTCAGCTTTGGATTTTATTGGTACATTTTTCAGAGTCAGTCTGGGTGTGATAATCAGTGTTACTAAGCAAATCTCTCCTTGAATCTACCTTTCAACAGAAAACATCCGGTGTCTCTTAACAATTATGGTTAGCTGAACAAATGTTGCAATGTGAGTCATCTTGACAACAAAAGGTTACGCAGACTAAAAAAGTAGAAATACATATAAACTGAAATAGTATATACTACCTGAACATCACCATTAGTGTTCCCAACAGCAACAAGAGGACCACAAATAGAATCTATCGTGCCAGTTTTAATGAGATTTGGTGGACAAACTCGACATAATGTTGGTTCTGACCTATTGGGAGTGTACAATGAATTTAACTCAAGGTACAACTTTATCGGACGCCTGCAACCAAAGTACAAAATTAAACCAAAGCTATTAACAATCGATCCACTTTGTGAGCAAAATAAGGATTTTTACCAGTAATCCTGCTCCACTAAACAGAATCTATTGATATTCAAACTGATTTCATTCAAACAATTACGAAGAAAAATATCCAAAAGCTTTAGAGAATGAAAATCACCTCCCTAGGCAACAGTCCACAAGCAAATCAAGCATGTAACTCTATTCAATCTTTATGTGCTACTTTCCAGTATGTTTGAAGAGGATTAGTCAACATCGACCAACTTAGTCCTGTTTCATTTCATCAAACTAGGAGAGTTGAATACTCTGAACAACTTCAACATGTCTGCTAAAAATGACTGCTAGCCATAGCAGCAGTCTTCTAAGAACATAAAATCATTGTGGTAGAGTATAATTCCATTATGAATAAAATTCATTTTGATAAAGTCACAGTGTTATATAGTAATATTTACTTGTGACGTTTCGAGCACAATTTATTGCTCATAATCATACCAAAGTACTCACACAACTGTCTAACTTCGTTTATATAGTTCCACTATTTTTCATCGCCCGATTTGATTGGTAGTATTTTCCATATTTCCTGTATGAGTGATGAGTCACTTCTATTGCATGTGTTGGGTGTAGACTCGATGAACCAGGATACAGTAATCAATCTCTCTCTCTCCACCTACCTATATTACTTCTTAGAATCTTAACCCTCTCTCACACTATTGTGTGTTAATGCATGCAGTACTATTTTGTATTTTTTTTACTAAATTACTTATCTTCGTGGGGCCAATCGATCTAACCTTAGCTAAATTCGTATGTTCTGATAATCTCAATACCTCTGATCTACTAGTTTGGCCTATGTAGTTGACCTCACAGTCATTGCAAAGTATTCCGTATATTATATTACTTTGTTTAGTTGGGTACACCGGGTCTTTTAGCCTACAGGACTGTCTCTAAGTGAACAAAATATATAGACAAACAGAAGGTGTAGCAATGGGATTACCAATATTCCCTATCTTACCAGACATCTTTATGGACAACTGGGAAAATACTGCTCTAAATACATTTAAACCTACTCCAAAAATTTGGTTGTTATTATTTAAACGCATAAAAAACTTGGTACAATATGGCACCAAGAAAGATGCGCCACACAAATTGTGTGCGGGCTGAGATACTGCCCGGGCGCGCCAGACCGAAGCAGGTGGTTTTATTAAGGGACCACCCCCCGAGCCTTTGACTTGGAGTCTAATCCGCAAGGCAGCGGAGCAGCGTCAGGAGCTGCATTCCCAAAATTTTGGTGGAGATATGCGGATGACACTTTCACGGTGTACCCAACTAAACAAAGTAATATAATTTACAGAATACTTTGTAATGACTATGAGGTCAACTACATAGGCCAAACTAGTAGATCAGGAGTAGTGAGATTATCAGAACATACGAATTTAGCTAAGGTTAGATCGATTGACCCCACGAAGATAAGTAATTTAGAAACAAACTCAGCAATAGTACTGCATGCATTAACACACAACCACACAATAGTGTGGGAGAGAGTTAAAATTCTAAGTAATATAGGTAGGTGGAGAGAGAGAGATTGATTACTGTATCCTGGTTCATCGGCTCTACACCTAACACATGCAATAGAAGTGACTCGACGGAAAGACCAGCGATACGGAAGATAGCATTACCAGTCAAATCAGAGGATAATAAGCAACGTTAAAATCTATTTCAATACACATTATAACACTCACAAGTTATTTATTTTATTATAAATCGTCTTATTTTTCACCTTATTGACTAACAACACTCGTCTTAGTTGCCATTCTATTATGTTTTATTGAAAACATATTTTTTTTATTTTTTACATTAATCTCGATCTCTTCATTTCATTGTTCTATGCTTCTGAAGAACCTGATAACTTGAGCAAACGCACTTTGAGCAGCCGTGTCGTAATACTTATCCATCTCCTGGCCTTAAAATATTTGTGAGATAGGGCTAGCCTAGGATCAATCCACATGAGCACCGTTAGTCGTAATCTCAACCTCAATCAATTTACCAGTTATGAAGTATTTTAGTTTTCCGGAACTTGAGGTTGAAATTTCCGATGGAATATAAAAGCATAAACTGACTGTCCCTTGAGAAAACTTTAATAAAAGCTTGTGCACATAGTTACGTTCTGGCAAAAAATAAGATTTTCTCAAATATGATGTCATACAATTGCGTTAACGCATCTTCTCTCTTACAAACAACTCTCACCATGCTACGGCGTTTCCGGTAAGCGACGCGCCCTGTGCTCACCCGGTGGCCAGTGTGAAAAGTAAGCCAGCTGGGAAATTAACACTTAGAAACCAACTATTTGTTGGCTGCTGGAATGTTAGGACGCTGTTGGATCCTGGTAGCCAGTCTATCACCATGCGTTCTTTATACGACTACAAGGTGGACATAGCGTGTCTATCTGAAGTGAGGTTACCCGATCATGGCTCCCGCCGAATAGCCGTACCTGGAACAGATTCTTCATTCTGGTTGCTTCATAGTGGACCCCAGAATAATTCGGGACAACATGGGGTAGCATTTGCTCTCAGTAACAAAGCCAATAATGCCCTAATATCATTCGAACCGGTCAACTCCAGAGTTGCAATCGCTAGGTTCAAGGGTTCCCCGCTCGACATTTCTGTTCTCGCTGTCTATGCCCCAACCCTCGACTCTGATGAAAGTATCAAAGACGAATTTTATGACAATCTTCAAGAGGCAATCAACAAAATCCCAAAGCGTGACGTTCTCATAGTAGCCGGCGATTGGAACGCCCGCACTGGCCCTTCAGACGACGCGACAAAACATATACTAGGCAAACACGGTCTCGATCAGCGCTGCCGTAATGGTGATAGACTTTTAGCTTTTTCTGATTACAATCGATTATATATCACCAACACTCGATTTCAACACCCTAGAAAACATCTCACCTGGTATTCGAACGACGGTCGCACTGCACATCAGATCGACTACATCCTAGTGCGCTCACGCTGGATCTCCTCGGTGGAAGACTGTCGATCCTATCGTGGCGCAGAGGCCGGAAATAAAGGGGGATCAGACCATACTCTAGTTCGGGCGAAATTCAAACTTCGTTTAACAACACGCCAGAAGGCGCGACCTCCGAAGCGTATCAATGTTGCCCCGCTTCAATGTTCGACAAAGCGACAAGCCTTGTCCAAACAAATCCAGGCCGAACTAAGCGCCGCAGATGAACCAACATCCACATCTTCTAATACACCTGAGACACGATGGAATCATTTCAAAGAAGTAGTCTCTAAAGCTTCAATGTCGCATTTGGGTACCACATCCAACAAGCAGAAAGACTGGATTTCAGAGCACACCATGCATCTATCCTCGCAAGCCAGAGACGCTCGCCTAGCAAAGTCTCCAGTTTATCGCTCCCTCAGGCGCAAAGCTACACAGTCTGCTAGGAATGACAGAAATCGCTATTGGTCTAATGTGGCGACTAACATGGAAGCAGCATCAAATGTAGGCGATTTCGGAAAACTTTATCGCCTCATACGCCTATCATCTGGCAAACGCCTTAACAGTCATGCTGTGTTACGCACAGCATCAGGAGAAATTATTTCGGACACCAATGGTAAGATGGAACGATGGGCCGAACATTTCAAGCAGCTACTCAATCGCAACGCTGGTCAACCGTCTCATCGACCGATACGACACTTACCAACACCCTACGTAGTTGACTGCGATCCACCCACTCCAACCGAAATAGCTAAAACAATTAACAGACTCAGAAACAAAAAAGCTCCGGGCGAAGATGGTCTACCCAGAAATATACAAGGCCTGCACTCCAGCGCTAATCGATTCGCTGCACTCGCTGTTCTGCTCAATTTGGGAGTCCGAAACCATTCCTTCCGATTGGAGCACCTCAGTTCTGCTACCGTTCCACAAAAAGGGAGACAGGTCACTATGCGAGAACTACCGAGGCATAAGTCTGATTGATATCGCTGCTAAGGTTTTTGTTTCCATTCTCCTGAACCGCTTCGCGGCCGAACGCCACGTGCGAACAAGGCCAAATCAAGCCGGATTTCGACCTGGAAGAGGCTGTGTTGATCAATTATTCACACTGCGAAGAATTTTGGAACACAGGGACAAATTCCAACAGCCGACGGTTGCTTGCTTCATCGACTTCCGAGCGGCATTCGACTCAGTTGATCGAGGAGCACTCTGGTATCTAATGGAGCTCGACGGAGTTCCGACCAAGCTAATCAACCTGCTCAGGTCATACTACTCCAACACCAAAGCTCGAGTCCGAGTGAACGGTGAAGAGTCTCGCACTTTTGAGGTAACCAGCGGTGTCCGGCAAGGTTGTCCAGCATCCCCCATCCTGTTCAATTTCACAGTTGATTGGATTTTGCGGCACGCCCTAACCGAGCACCACGGCGTCCAACTTTCGCCCGATATTCACATAACCGACCTCGAATTCGCCGACGACGTCGTTTATTAGCTGAAAACTTCCCCGATATGCAACAGGCGCTCGATCAGATAAACCACCTCGCGCCTACTATCGGTTTGAAATTAACACTTCCAAAACCAAAATGTTTTCGAACACATCCACCAGCAATGATGAAATCTTATCCCTGAATGGAGCACCTATTGAAATTGTGCCATCCTTCAGATATCTGGGATCCATAATGCTCCCCAACGGTCAAGCGAAAAACGAAGTGAATGCGCGAATCTCCAACGCCCGGAATGCGTTTCTACAGCTGAGGAGCGTTCTATGGAGCAAGAGGGAAATCAGTCTCAGGACTAAAATTCGGGTCTACCAAGCCTCCATACGACCCGTTCTCCTGTATGGCTGTGAAACCTGGCCTCTTCGCGCGGAAGATTTACGCAGACTCGAGGTAGTAGACCATTGGTGCCTCAGGTACATTCTGCATGTTCGTTGGCAGGACAAACTCTCCAACGAAGAAGTGCGTCGTCGTTGCTACAACATCAACCAAATTCCAGTACTGGTCCAACAACGTCGCCTTCGGTGGTTTGGCCATGTTCTGCGCCGACCAGATGACGATCTGGTCAAATCAGTTCTAAATCCCTCGCCATTTCCATCTTGGCGATGTCGCAGGGGTGGACAGCTGAAAACATGGCTTGGTACAGTCAAGGCTGATATGGAGTGCCTGGGGCTACAAACCGTCTACGGACTCCGTCTGTGGAACAAGAATTGGATAACCCTGTCGCAAAACCTTGCATCAGATCGCCGCGCCTGGGCAGCGATGATTCGAGATGTTCATGAAGCCGGCTCATCCTCCCGTAGGAGATAGCCGAAGTAAAGTAAGTAAGTAAGTTAACGCATCACTCACTTATTTTCCATTGATTCATGTGGTATCAGATCGGATAGACTCCAAACTGGTTTTTGTTCTTCATTTTCCACAAATGATTTTCTAATAGATCGCAGTTGCCAGAACTGTGAACATTGAATAAAAAATGAAATAAATAATCACACCTTTCTCACCACAATAGATAAAAACGAATCGATCAAACCTGCCATCTTAATTTGTGATTGAATTAACAGAAAATTGACCACGGTGGTAAATAATGTATTTATTACAGTGAGATTTCCTGTGCAAACCAGTTTACTGAGTTCACAACCATATCTGTTTACAGATTAAAATACGCAATCACTTTGTGAGAAACTACTTGCTACACCGTAAGTTCTCTCAGTTTGAGACCTACAAAACTGACGAATACACGCGGTAACCCGAAGGTCAGATTGCGCTTGTTATTGGAGCTTTAAACTTATCAAAATAAACTTCCCTCATGACAATTAAAAAATCATGTGATTCACCAAAAGAACAAGCCCATAGACCAAATAAACTTCGTGAATTCGATGTGACTTATTGACAGACACAAATTTCCAATTCACGTGGAAATTGAGATAGAACACAATTTGAACAACAGTCAGTTTACTCAGCGCACAGAATGCGAGAACTTCGCCTACAGAATTTATCTGAATTCTTTGCGGAATTGATACTAGCAAAAGTAGAACAAACGCATGATCAAGCCTAAATATTATTTACCATATCCTAGTAAAAATCACCCTAATTCCAAAAATAGCACACAATTATGACGTGCGGCTATGAAAAGTGTAAAACGCCTGGTGTAACAGGTAAATTGCATATGAGTTAGACTCTATGCCAAAATCAAATTTAGTGTAACAGATACCACTGAGCAGAGTAGAACTCACCTGCATACGGCCATCAACAGAGGCTACAGCAATAGTCACCTCATTTAACCGATCAACGGTGAAATTGACAGGATATGCTTGTTTTGGACGTCTGGACGAAGCAGCAGTCGCTACAAGAACATAAGAGCAGCTGCTGTTATCTAGTTCGTAGGTTTCTTTGCAAGTTTTCTGAATCATATTAGATGAATGAGCATAAAAGTCCATCGCTAAGGCAAGCCCACGACGAGCATACACGCTCAAATTACCATTTTCGTGTAGACAGATGATAACATCACGTTGAGTGCAAGAATAAACCTGTAAATTGCAAGTACACTTTGTGTTATCACCTATAAATTTCTGGTTATCAATTATTTCAAAACATTTAAATTAAATGGGGATTTTATCCGATTACGTTTGGGTTAACAGACAATGACTTCATTAAAAAATATATAACTGATACGTCTTTGAACTTATGAATTGATGAGGAAGTGACTAAACACAACAATATGAATTCAATGCATGATACCCAGATTAGTGGTCTTTAACTTCAGCACTCATAAGTTCATAGTAATAAGGGGTGCTAAAAATTTAGACTCGTATAATGGAGTTAGACTGCCAAGTCTATCTACAGGCTAGACACGTCACTATCAAGGCAAGCGTCTGGCCATTTAAATATACTTCTTGGCTATATATTTTACTTGTAAACAAGTCATACACAGCCACAATGGGTTCTTATGCAGGAAAAATGGTATGATATTAAGGTTGCTATTTTAAAAATCATAACTATCGATTCCCCAATCACACTAAGCTATAAAACTTGAATATAAGAAACAAAAGTTAAAAATGCTTTTTATGGTTTTAACAAACTTACACGTGAAAAAGATGGCCGAGAGCGATCCAGAGAAATAACACCAAGAGGGTGAATTACTGCTAGGTTCACGAAAACAATCTCCCGCTTGAAAACAAATAACACACAGTCCTTGTTATATCCATGATAAGTAACCTGTAAGCATATCTTTTTAGGTGTTGTTCCTCCCTTATCGCTTGAAGTATCCCATGTCCTAAGTGGAAATTAGGTAAACAGCTTCTCAAAGCCACATCAAAGAAATAGTGCAAACTACATAGTACCTGAGTCGCTCTATTACTTCATTAATCATCATGTAATGATGAAACAGCGTATCAGACATGCTCAATAAGTATGAAAAATAATGGTTAAAGAAAATGGATGTACTTACAAGTCCTATGAAGTTCATGAAGTCTTTACAAAAACAACAGTGGATTCATAGCACAACTTTTACATGGCGATTCATTTAAACCTTAGTAAGTGGACTTCTGTAATACTTCGATGATTACATTTTTTAGTTTTATCTAACTCCGATATTTACTTAATTTAAATTTACCAACGGTCTAATTAACTCAATTCACCATAAACTTCGATAAATAAACACAAAAGATGGAACAGAACATAATTAACAACATGTTTGCTTCATACATATATTCCCCTTTACGAATTTGAACAAAGCAAGAATAAGTTTGTGCAAAATAAGATGGCACCGTCATTTACACACAACCTTCGCATTCCAATCAACAAACTGAGCTCTTATAAGTTTCCCAAACACTGTTTCGACGCACCTTTGCAGGAGCGGACATAGATGTAAGAAATAGTCAGGACAAATAAGACTGCAATTAATAATTACTGAGTTCCTTAAAAACGAATATTATTATAAATCTAACAATCCTCCGTATCTCAGGAAAATACACCATCTTATTACAACCTTGTATTGATGCTATGAGCGTAAACATCATGATCTTGTGACAGTAGATGGATGTACGAACTAACGGTGTTGGCCTACTTCCATAAAAGCTAGAATGAGACGACTGCAACACTCCGCAAATACGCCATATTCAAATATACTAGCTTCGGCCTGATAGGCACATAGCAATGTGCAGCTTAGATTGCAAACAAGGAGTGTAACTTCTTACCTTTCTGAAATTCCCATACTAGAAATCCAGCCGCTGATGGCCGATTTTACAGATGTCACTCCCGTCCCTGTCCCTTGACAGTCAGTTTCAGTGTGAAAAGCTTTAACATCACCAAATACAAGAGTATATTAACTAACAAGAACAAACCAGTTCCATGTATGCTCTGCCTTCTGGCTTTACCAAAGCTACACAAGGTAACAGAGAAATTTTCAACCACAAAATGTTCTCTGGAATAAACTGAAAAACTGAGAAAAAAGTTGAAGTGAATTACAAACAATCTTCGAAGCGGAAAATAAATCCAAAGAGAATGAAGCTATGGAGTCATCGAAAGTGTACTTCCACAGTTGAGTTTGAGTTTGGGTGTTCCAAATAATGAAAATAGCATGAGAGTGAAGAACACCCAGCAAGTCACGTGACACCCACTGATTTGGTAGCCACATCATGTCTGAAATAAGAAGTATTAATTAATACTAACCCAAAACTGAGGAATCTGCTTCACGGAATTCCGAAGTAGCAGTAGCTGTGAAGGCATCCCAAACTATTATTACTCCAGAGGAATCAACACTAGCCAGTCTCAACTGAAAAGGACTTTTGTCATCATGATAGTAATTTTCTGGAGCCCACTGGACATTTATCACGTTCGCGCAATGTCCCTGTAGTGACTGTATGGACTAAAATACGGTTAAGCAAACCAGTGGGAACTAATTACTTTACACGAATAAGGATCAATTATAAGTATATTAGTGAAGCTGCTCAGAGCAACAAGACCCTTCCAACCACTAAATACTCATTAATCCCGGACAATAACGATCCTTACTAATCAATAGCTAGAAATGCATCTGAGCTCACACCAACCGACAATACTCTCGGCCTCATGACAACTAGCAAGTCACCCAACTACAATGACAGAAGATTTAGACACAAAAGACGTGTGGAGAGGCTGAGCACTTAAAGGTCACTTATTTACATTGCGATTGGTAGATTTTCCTTTACATAAGCGTTGCGGCTAATACGTATTGTTCTTTACTGAGGCGGGATTTGAAATAATAGTAATAATAAAATCGGAAAGACATTATATTTGTCAGCTTAAGAGAACAAATTAATGTATATATATGTAAATACATTTTACAGATGGTGATATACATTGGTACCATTTACAGAACGAATAGTGTTGGGTAACTAAATAAAAGAAGTATAATGTTTGAAGTTGCAGTACATTTCAGTCAATTGTGATGGATGGATGTGAGAGAGGTCACTGTGTAATTTTTGCTTGTTGTAGAAGAGAAAATGTGCTAGATGCATTGGATCAGATCTACCGTGGAATGATTGAACAATTAATCTCTCGGCTGCAGAATGCCACTAATTCTACGATTTCTTCCTCGTGAGCCTAAGATAAGGCTCACCAAACGTAAGATTAATTCATCTGATAATGTTGGCGAAGTATGAGTATCATAGTTAAAGTCAGGGTATTTAAAAAGTTGACCTTCAAGGACTGATGAGACACAGTGCCTACGTTTTCGAAACTGGAGAGGCGATACACAGTAATCTACTTATTTATTAGGTGCTTCTGTAAATCTATACTGCTTGGTAGGGCTATGGCGTTTCAGATTAAGATATAGAGTCTACGGTCAATGTTGGGTTCAAGGTTAAGGTTAGAGTTGGGAGTAGGCCGAGGAATGGTGTCACAAATATCAATGAATCACGACGTACCATGACCTACAGTCACCTGGATGAATGCGTCCATCACGCATTGAACGATTTTTCCATTGATAATCTGGGTATTGACTGGGAGACATTCTTACAATATTTAAGCTACAACTACACGGTGTATTATATTGTGTTCATAATATTTTCAGTGCATTTTTCAACGATTATGCGACTCTTCTACATATGGTTGTCTGTTCAAGGTAACCGTCGTTTTCACAATGACAGTTTAAACTCGCCGATACTGTGTAAATTCTCAGATGTTCTGCAGTGCAACTGATGGTGGTCGAGGGAATACAACATCAATTCTTGCATGAAACAGTCCATCGGGATTCCACCGGTGAATCGTTTAGTGAAGAAAAACTGCATAGTCTGGTCCAATATCACAACCAATTGGAGAAAAGTAAGCGAGACCTTGTGCAAAGAAAGATTGTCAGACTTTATGGTGGCTATCACGCAGCCATACACAATCTAAAACTGTGACATTTTTCACTGAATTCTTGTAAAAACTCCTCAACGTAAATATGTGCATTTTCATACTAAATAATCTCTAACTTAGCTGATTGTTGTTTTGGTGCCAATATACACATTTCTGCCAACTACGTGAATTTCTTTCATTTACCATTTCGAGGGAGGTATGGAGGAAAGCAGAGGAAACTTTCGAAAGGAAGTAATGCTACCTTGTCAAATTCCCAAAGAATGGAGACTTAAGATTACGCAAGAGCTGGTGAAGGATTACACTCCTGTCCACCCTGAGCAGAACATAAAGCCACGTCATCCTACAAAGTCCAAAAGACGCTATGTGTGTAAGATTCCGCCCCGAACAGGCAGGATTCAGGATAGACGAATCATCTGAGTATTAAATATCAACATCTTCAGTGCCAATTTCATATAAAGTGAACTTATTTGGATTCTCCATCAATGATGTGATTTCATTTCCTGACAACCTTTATTCTGATTGACTGTTACTTAGTATGTTGCCGGGCTACTTAAATAACCTCGCATAGTTAACTAGCTTGCTAGTTTTCTAGCCGGTCCCAAGCCTGGGTAAAGAGGGAAGGTTGAGCGTAGGGCTAGCAACCCTACACCACTTAACCTATCAAACAGCTAGAGATACCTAAACACAAAAAATATGCTAAAACTACAAAAAAAATACAAAGGACGATCTTATTCTTCGCTGGAATCGGGGAGGCGAAATGATGCGGGCTAGTGAGAGCCTTCTGGAAGCCAGTCAGTCAATGTGTCTTCTCTCGATGAAAGCAAATTAGGAATGCGGACGTGGGATGTCCGTACAATGTACGAAATTGGGAAGGCTGTCCATGCAGCCAACGAAATGCGAAGATATGGCACACAAGTGCTGGATATCTGCAAAAGCAGATGGAATGGATGTGGATTTTCCTAATTGTCAACTGGAGAGCCAGTAATCTACTCCGGTCACCTACGCAGACGACAACCACGAACACACTGAGGGGGTGTTATCATGATGTCACCAGTGTCAGTCAAAGCACTTTTGTTGTAGGAATCAACCTCCTCCAGGATTATGACAGTAAGACTCGACTCAACAGGAAGAAAGGTGTCAACCATTCAACGCTACGCACCTACATACAACTCAGAAGAAGAAGACAAGGAAGAATTTTACAGACAGCTACAAATAGTAATGGGAAACATCCCAAGTAGTGACATCAAAATCATCATGGGCGATATGAATACAACCCAAACCGGGAGCAGATAATATAGGAAGAGAACTCATCATGGATGAAGAGGCTCTCGGAGAAATGAATGACAAATGAGATCTCTTCGTAGACTTCTGCGCTCCCAATGATTTGGTGATTGGAGGCAGTGTGTACAAGCACAAGGATATACAAAAAGCAATGGACACACCACAAACCACATGGATTTCATCTCAATGCTGTTCAAAAAATGGAGGCGCGGCCTGCTGAATACAACGTCGAGGAGGGGAGCAGATGTGGGCTCAGAGCATCATTTACTTTTAGGAGCCTTCAAGGTGAAGCTGAAATCAATCCGAACGACTGGAGACAGGACATAATTTAAGCTCAATATTCAGAAACTGAAGGACAAAACTATAAGGGATGCCTTCGCTACAGATATATCAGGGCAAAGTCGGACACACTAAGTGCCATCATTGAGGAAATCTACGTGGAAGAACAGTGGAACTCTCTGAAAGAGATACTTAAGGAAACGTGTACAACTGTTCTAGGAAGAAGGAAGAGACAAGACAAGGAGTGGCTGTCAACGGGTACATGGAAGATAATCGAGGAGAGGACGACAGTGAAAGAGAAGACGACTCAATGCAAAGATGCATAACAGAAGGAGAAGCTGAGTTCACTGTACGCTGCATTGAGTAAAGCATTAAAGAAGAGTGCTAGGAAAGACATTAGACAATTCTACGCCAAAATTACCGGCAACTGAAGCGCAACAGGCTGGCCACAGGTAAAAGAGATCTCAGGATATTATATCACATAACCAGGTCTCTATCTGGAACGAGATCAACCCAGATAATAAAAAAAAATAGATGCCCAAGGAAACCAGATTACCAAGGCGGAGAGGCAAACAAAACAATGGGCTGACCACTTTAAAGCACTCTTGAATCAACCATCACCTGCAGCCCTCCAAGAAATACCACCACCACCGACAGCACGCACAGAACTGTCTGCCAGTGGACACCGATTCTCCAACAGAGACGGAAATCTTGAATGCAATCCAGCCACTGAAGGCCGAGAAGGCAGCAAGACCAGACGCAACCGCTCCTGTAGAACTGAAAACGGACCCAGAGACTGCAGCAGATGTGCTCACACCGTTACTGCAAACGGTTTGGAGAGATGCAAAGGTGTCCACCGATTGGAAGAAAGGCTGGCCACCTTGTCAAGCTACCAAAGAAGGCCGACCTAGGCCTCTGCACGGAATGGAATGGCGTGGAATAATCCTCTTGTTCACGCCAGGCAAAATACTAAGTCGCGTCATCTCGGAGAGACTAAAACATGCACTGGATGCAGATCTCCGCCAACCGGAACAGGCTGGATTCAGGAAAGGCAAATCGTGTGCTGATCAAATTGCTACTATGCGCATCATCATCGTCGAATAAAGCAGAGAGTGGCAGTCAAACCTCCACCTCAACTTCATCAACTTCGAAAAGGCCTTAGACGGCGTTGACCGAGAGGTAATTTGGAAACTACTTCAACACTACGCGTACCTCAAGTCTTTATCAACCTCATGCAACAGCTATATCACAATGACACGTGTCAGGCGATCCACAACAGAAAACTCAGCGAAGGCTTTGAAGTGAATGCAGGAGTAAAACATACTGGCCGCCTATTATCACCAATGATATTCCTAATTGTGGTGGATTGAACCAGGCGTCATACTCTGCGTGGGGAGTGAGAAGACAGGAATACACTGGGTGAGTATAAAGACTCTAGAAGATCTGCATTTAGCAGATGATTTATGTCACACAGACTCGAAGACTTACAGGCGAAAACGAACAAACTATCAGAAGAAGCAGCGACAACAAGACTCCAGGTGAACATAAAGAAGACGGAGGTGATGAAGATAACCAACGAACCGCAAAAACCTTCACCAGTCACCATCAACGGGAGAAATTTAACCGAGGTCACCTCCTCCACTTATCTGGCCAGAAAGTGCGGTCGGAACGTATGAAGATGTCAAAGTCAGCCAGAATCGGAAGGGCAAGATACACCTTCATCAATCTGTAACCAATTCGGAAATTTCCTGCACTCAGTATAAACAACAAGATTCACATTTTAAACACCAATGGGAAGTCAGTCAGTGCTCCTATATGGGTCAGAAACCTGCACTGCGTGTCACGAAAAGCATTTCCATCAGGTTACAGACTTTTACCAACAGCTGCCTACGCTCCACACTGAAGATCAGATGGCCGGTCAGAAAGAAACAGCCACAAGAAACTCTGGCGATGAACAAATCAACCAAGAGTCGATCGCTCAACAAATATGTAGGAGAAAAATGGAGATTGGTCGGGTATACTTTGAGGAGATTGTCAAATGTAGGTCATGTTAGAAGGCGATAGTGTGTAATAGGCAATCGTGTACCCAGATGAATAGGACGCAGAAAATTGTAGAAGTTTCAGATATTTTGATGAAGCCCTATTTTCCATTCGTAACCCTCAGGAATAATAT